GAAGATGAATATCACAGGGTGACATGGGTCCGGAAGAATAAAGAAAGGAAAGGGAAGCCTGGAGTGAGCTGAGGCTGGCAATGAGGCTAACTTTAAAACAGCAGCAGTAGTGGCAACAATGACAACTGTGTTAGGATAAGGAAAAGAGGAAAGGACAGACAAAGCTGTGGTTCAGGATGGGTGGAAGAATGACTATGGAGAAGAGCCCAACAGAAGATGCCCTCCTAGATGCCATGAGGTGCTGGTTTATGCAGAATGAAATCACTAAGCATTTATTAAGCACCTATTATAACAGCTAATCCATCTCCCTACTCTGTCTTGGTCAAACATCACCTGGGATATCATGGGATGGCATGTGGAGGGGAGGGCAGCATTATAACCATCTTCTAGTTTTTGAAGGGGCCCCACGTGGAAAGTCATTGGACTGGTTCTCTTTGGTTCTAGAGGGCTGGACCAGGAACTAAGGATTGGAGGTGCTGAGGAGTGGGTTTAGGATTGATCTTGAGGAGAAGACAAACATTCTTTCTAACAATCAGCAATCTAAAATAAGAATAGTAACATAATACCTAGCATTTATACCGGGCAGCTAGGTGTGCCACAGTGCACAGAGCACTGGTCTGAGTTCAAATCCAGCCTAGGACACTCACTAGCTGTATGACCCAGGGCAAGTCACTTAATCCTGCTTGTCTCAGTTTCCTCAGCTGTAAAAGGAGCTAGAGAAGGACATGGTAAATCACTGCCAAGAAAACCCCAAGCCGGGGCACAGAGGGTCAGACCCAACTGAAATGACCAAGCAGCAGTAACAGCCCGAGAGGCTGGGTGCTGTGGCGGTTAGGGCACTAAGTTTGGAGTCAGGAGGACCTGGCTGGATCACTTCCTCTCCGGGCCTCAGCTGCCCCACCTGTAAGCAATGAGTTTGGACTTGATGACCACTCAGCTCCTTTCCAGTGCTAAATCCATGCTTTCTGATTTTGATAAGAGAATACCAGGTGATGTATTGTTGCTATGGGGGAAAGACAGGAGACAGAGGACATGCAGCTGCGGATCTGGAAGGGCCGGGACGGCATGGTTCACAATAGGCTTACTTTGGTGCTCCCAAGATACTTATGTTGCTGGTACGGGGCGCTGCCGCTCCGATCGTGTCCCATCTACACCTTCCTTAGGAAGGAGGTGGTCTTCGTGAGTTGCTATGGCCCAAATTAATCAACTGAAGGCAAGTCATGGTCAAGGGCCTCTCCATATATTACTGAATTGGATACAGGAAAACACAGAATGAAGCCTTTGCTAGTCTCATATGCTGAGCCTTTACAGGCCACATGGTTCACCAGACCTGAGCTCAGGGGCAGAGGGAGAATCTCAATTAGAGCCAGGCCATGATGGGGTATCAAAAGGCCACGTGACCTTTCCAGCTCTTTCCTTAGCTACTGTCTCCCATGAATGACAGTCCTTTTCTCAAGTACTCTTTTTCCATGGCCACGCCTGCTATTCTCAATCAATCAACACCTATTTATTAGGAGCTTATTACATGCCAGGATTAATATATACACAGGGAGAAGAATCACCTGTGAAATGGTGAGCTCAAAGATACACACTATGGAGTATTAATGGCTCACCACCTCTTGAGTGAGTCCAAGAGATCTCCTTCAGGAGGTGAGTGTGGGGTGACCTTTTAAAAACATGGTGGCCAGAGGGACGAGAGAAGATACTAAATAGGCAAGACCCTACATATGAACAGAGAAAATGGGAAAGAGTGAATTCTGTTTGTATTGACTCAGTTGTTGTAGAGAGGATGGACAAGGTGGGAAGTTGTTGAGGTGGAAGGTAAGAGAAAGAAGCTTCAAAGGAGTCTAAGGACCAAGCAGAAGAATTTGGCCCCGAAAAAATAGCCAATAGTAAAGCACAGCAAGCTCTGGGGTAGGACCAAGCTAAAATTCTAGAATCTAATGAAGGAGAGAAATAATTGTGATTCTATTAACAACCAATTATTAAGTTGGGATCCAAGTTTTTCTCCTCAATTTCCTCATTAAGGCCCATCTCTTGTTAAAGTCAGTCTCTGAAGGACTTATCCCTCAAGGAACATGCTCTTCAATCTTAGGAAGGACCCCACCCAACTGGGAGCCCTATCATCTGTTTAGAGTATCAGTGGAATCCAGTCTGGGCAATCCTTACCCTGAGAACGGAGCCCCTGTCCTCATACCCCTCCAGTAGAGTTAAGGGCGAACCAGTTCAGGGAGTAGAAAACCAACCAGAGTGGTCTGAGTGGAGATGGATTTCCCTGTCCAGGTTGCTGGAAGTGGCTGAGTGTCATGATCAAGCTATGTTCTCAACAGGAGGAGCGGAAGACTTTTAGCCCACTTCCTCATTAAATGGCCACCAAACATGGTTGATTTTCTTTGTCAAGGGAATTCCCTTTCCAAAGGGTTCTTTGCAGCTTTCAGGGTCTCCACTGGGCATCTTTAATTACTGAGAGAAACCACTGACTATCAACTTAATGATTTCTGGCTTGTCTAATTAATAAGTTGATTAATTATCCAGAAACTCTGTGTCTCGGGTTTTTCATTCATTTTACTCTATATTGATATTGGCAACAGCATGAGGAATAGCCTAGAGAGAAGAGAGATAAGAGGAAAACTGGTGGGATAGAAAAACATTAGCTTAGGACAGTTACGATAGTTCAGACTGGAGATGGTGAGTGCAAGGGCCATCTTGGTGTTTATATAAACAGAAAAGAAAGGTCAATGATTTTGATATTATGGAGGAAAATTTGACTAAAGCAGAAATCAGAATGATATTGATTCCAAAACACATCGAAAATTGCCCAAACATAAAAGTGTGAAATGGTATTACAGGAATTAGCAAAGCATGGTCCTGGGGATCACAAAGATTGAGAGCTGGGAAGAATCTCAATGTTGAGCTCATCCAAACCCTTCAATTTGCAGATAAGAAAACTGAGGCCTGGAAGGGTAACACGATTTGCCTGTGTTCATACAGGCAGTCAATAAAAGAGACAAGGCTTGAACCTAGGACCTCTGATACCTAATATGGCACCCTTCCTTTGCCTCTGGTATATGTTGTGATGGTAAGAAGTGAAATTAATGCTTTGGATATAAATATATCAACTAAGAGCCATGAGCTCCTTCTTCCCTCCGCTTCTCATGTTGGTGAAGACTTCTAAAATTTTGGAATTAGAAATGACCTTAGATATTACTTTGTCCCAAGTGCCTCATCTTATAGTTGAGGAAAAAGGCCCAGATAGGTTCGATAACTTATTAGCAAATATTCAGCAAGTATTTAGCAGAGACAGGACCAGAATCTGGGTTTTCTGGCACTCAGCCCACTGCTTGCTCCTCTCCTGTCACAGAGTCAATGACCTGTCTCAGGATGAAGTGTGAAGACATTTCTCCTCGACAGTCTTTCTTTGGTGTCTCATAATGGCCAATGGTCATGACCCTGGGCTCTCAAAGGCTTATGGAGGCCAAGCTCTGGCTCATCCTAACAAGTTGCCAAGGCAAGAGTCCAGGGCTGGGGATAGACTGTGTGCCCATGGGAAGGTTCATCACGTGGCTGCGGTGTGACATGTTTTAGGCTACAGCAACTCACATATGCCTTCTACTGAGGCAGGAAAAGGTTGCAACCTGCATCAGAGAAGAGAATGCACCCACCAATGGAACTACAGATGCTTGGAGCATGTAGGATGAGGGTCCATGAGACAATATAAAAAATGTTTAAACCATGGCATTTTGGAAGTGGTTAAAATAGGTGGGTATGGAAAGATTCCAAGTTTGGAATGGATAGCTTGGGTTAATAAGCTCATACAATGCAATGATCCACCATGATTGCAGAGGACCACTGATGAAGCATTCTACTACTTCCTCGCAGAGAGGTGAGTGACTTATGGGGCAGAAGAACATATCCATTTTTGGACATGGCCAATGAAGGAATTTGTTTCACTTGATTACACATATTTGTTACAGAGGTTTCATGTTTCTTCTTTTTTTTCTGAGAGGGAGCAGGAAAGGGATAAAAATACTTGTTAATTCAAAATAAAATAAAATTCAAAGTTTAAACAAAAAAATCCCAGAATCATAAATACAGAGCTGGAAGAAATCTCAGTGACCATCTGGTCCAATTTCCTCGCTTTGGAGATGAGGAAACTCAGGCCCAGGGAAGCTGCAAACGGGAGATGTGAATCCAAACCTCTGACTTTACTCATTTGTTTGAAGGCTGGGTCTCTGTGTTTCTACCAGGTTGGAGGTGCGGCGGTCTCGCGTAGGCTCGATGCCTCTAGTGATCAGTACAAAAGCCCTGACCCACCCCCTTTCCAGCCTAGGCTAATTTGCTCCTCCTTAGCAGCTTACTGCCCCCTACTCTTGGGCATTTACCGTATTAGTGTTGGACTTGGTGTGGGCACCTGAGCACTGCAGCCCCCTATTGCTCAGAACCCCCGAGCTCAAGAGATCTGCCAGTCTCAGCTTCCCCCAGAGCAGGGACCGCATATGTGTGCTCTAATGTCTGGTATCCTCTGACTTTATGGCCAATTTGCTTTCCATTAGATCACTCACAGAAGAGAAAAAAAAATGAGGCTAAATTGAAGTATTACCTAGAGTGGGCCGTTAGTGTTGAAACTGCACAGAATTTGTAAAGCCTCTTCACTGAGGAATTTGCAGCTGAGTGGAAGGATTCATGTAGGCCTTGCTCGAAGGACAGATTGTTCTGTCCAGGAAGGTTCCTACCCATGGTAGCCATCTACGGACCTACGTCTAGCCTAAGTTTCACATTTCACCAAGTTCCCCAAACAGGCATTGGGTGGCACTGGTTTACCACCTGATTACCTTCTGACGAGGTAGCAAAGCTGAGCACGGGGGTTGGTGAAGCCAGGGCATCATGCGATCCAAATCATCTTTGTTTTCACAAATTCAGTTTTACACAGGACAAAAATAGCCTCTGAATCATTCACGTTGAATAATTTCTTTTATCCCAGCACCTCCCCTTCCTCTTACCTCGTGTTTCATCTGGAAATTCTGCACGAGGTTGAGGTCAGTGAACATTCGAATTGTGCAGAGTGCTGTGTCCAGATCAGAGAGCTCGAAGTCACTGAAGGAGAAGTCCATTATCCTGAGGGTTTGGGCGGATGGTATCATGGCTGCCTTAATGGGAAAGGGTGGGAGGAGGAAGGCAAAAAAAAAAAAACAAACCAGCAAAACGTAGCAGTCAGCAATCGCAGCTGTCACCTTTCAGAAAGGTTCCCTGCTCTGTTGGCAAAGCCAACGCTGTCGGTCCACCCCTCTAGAATATTTTAAGTGGTTTCAAGTTGCTTAGTAAAGAATTCTCCTCCTCCATTTGTGCCCCCAAACATCTGCTCTCCCCTCATTCCTGTGGAAACGAAGCCTCTTACAAAGATGAGGGAGGATGGATGCCTGATGACACGTTACTGAATAAAATAAACTCCAGCTAAATGGTGCAGTGGATGAGTCAGGAGGACTTGAATTCAAATCTGGCCTCTGATACCTACTAACTGTGTGACCCTGGGCAAGTCACTTAACTCTGTTTGCCTCCATTTCCTCATTTGTAAAATATGCTAAAGAATGAAATGGCAAACCACTCCAGTATCTTATTTTATGGTAGCATCCTACTGGATGCTAAACTTGGAGTTGGAAAGACCCTGTGTTCAGATTGCACTTCATCCAATAACTAGCTGTGTGATCCCAGGATAGTTCCCTAGCCTTTCTGGGTCAGTTACCTCATCTGTAAAATGGAGGTTTCAGACTTGAACATCCCTTCCGGCTCTAAATCTCTGGCCTAATCATCCTCCTCTTCTTGCCAGATGGTCACTATCACACTAATCCACATTTCCCTAGAGCTTTGAGAGGCAATACGCAGGTTGAAGCCCGGCCTTGGAGCGTTAAAGATCTGGGTTCAAATCCTGCCTGTGACACATGGCTTGGTGAATTCACCTCCCACTGCCCCAGGACGGTTCTCTAAGTTGCAAACTTTGAAGAAGTTACTAATCTACGTTATTGGAGGAAGTCATCACGTGGGAATTTCCTTGTTCTGATGAGATCACAAGCCCAGTTAAGAAAAAAGTTTCCAATGCATTTTCCTTATAACAACCCTGTGAGGTAGGTAGCATAATTATTACTATTCTCATTTTGCAGATGAAGACACTGAGGCTCAGAGTTTGTGATCTGCCCATGACTGCATCGTTGTTGTTGAGTTAAATTTCAGTCATGTCCAACTTTCTGTGACCCCATTCCGAGGTTTTCTTGGCAAAGATACTGGAGTGGTTTGCCATTTCCTTCTCCAGTTCATTTGACACATGAGGAAACTGAAGCAAACAGGGATAAGTGACTTGCCCAGGGTCACACAGCTAGTAAGTGTCTGAGGCTGGATTTGAACTCAGGAAGATGAGTCTTCCTGACTCGAGGCCGGGCGCTCTATCCATTGTGTGCCCCCACCCCCACCCCCATGATTGCACAGCTTATGTGAATCTGAGACCTGATTCTCCTCAGGGTCTCCTGATCCCAAGTCCAGCATTCTAGCCACTAGCTCATGCTGCCTTTTGGGTGAGTGTATGTAAGGAGGCAAAAATGAAAAGGTTTAGAACTGGGAGGGACCTGGAACAATTCTCTAGTCCAAACCTGAGGCCCAAGCAAGGGAAATGACTTGCTTAAGGTTACAAAGATGATAAAGGAGCTGGGATTCAAACCTAGGTCCTTTAATACTAGATCAATCCCCTTCTACTGAACCACACTGCCTCAGCTCTCTGGCACTGCCGCCTGGAGTGACCATGGAGCCCTAGAAGGAGAAATGGTCACTTCACAGCCTGATGCCATCAGGCTCACCAGGGTCAATTAAACTCAGCTGGTGGCAGTCGATGCCTCCTGGGTGGAGTGAGCGGATTGGTCATTCACACTGAGGCCAATGGCTCTCATCTGGGCAAGCTGCTAAGAGATGGTCTTAGATGAGACTGAGGGATGGCAGTGGTGGAGGGAGGATAAGACTAAAAGGAAATAGGGAGAGAAAGAAAGGAGGAAAGGAGATAGGTCAGACTCCTGCCCTTCTCTGAGCCTCCTTTAACCTTCCTGCACTTAGGTCTCTCCACTCAGTCTGTTGTCTTCTTCTTTGTTGTCATACTCTTCTGTCATTATTATCATCATCATCATCATCATCATCACCACCATCACCATCATCTTCTTCTTCCTCCTCCTCCTTCTTCTTCCTTCTTTTTATTGATGTCCTTCCATCCCACCCCCACCCTGGAAGTAATCTCAGCCAAGCCCAAGGGCTTGTCACATTCTCCTGCTGATCTCCGCCTTTTGCCTTCACTAAACCAGGTCAGGCTTCTGTAGTTCCTCAAGCAAGACCACCATTTTCCTCAGGCACAAACAAAGGTTTAATGGAAGAAGAGCGGTAGACTGAGAATCAGGAAGGACCTGGGTCTCAAATCTACTTTGGACACTTCCTAGCTGTGTAACCCTGGGAGAACACTGAACAACTCTGGGCTTCAGGTTTTTTCACTTGTAGAACAAGGGGACAGGACTCAAAGGCCTCTAAGGTCCCTTCCAACTCTAATATTTATGACCCTAGGAAGAATCCATTCTGGTCCCAAGACTAGAATTCACAAGAAAATAAGCACGTTATAAATTTACATTACAAGTGAAATACATGTTATAACTCTTTCCACAGGATGATCTAAGGGCTGAGAGGCTGGGGAACAGAGGAAGATTTAAACTGTTTGGATAAACATCTTGGTTGTTTATCCCAGCTAGAAATCCCAGAGACAGCACGAGTAAAGTGAGGAAGCAAATTACTGAGAGAGCGGAGTGAGACCACCTTCATAACCCCTTGCAGTAGATGACAGCCACAGTCTATAAAGCAACAGATGGCTTCCCCTGGGGACCCTGGCTCCAGGAGCTTATTCTATTGGAAGAAAACTCATCCATATAGTCACGGACACAGACAGAGACACACACACACACACACACACACACACACATGCACACACACAGCTACACACACAGACTCATGCAAAGAATAAACACCGGGTACTCAAAAAGAGGGCAGTCAGTGAGGGAGGGCCCCAGAACTTGGGAGAAAGGCTTCATGGGGAAGCTGGCACCAGAAAGGAAGGGGCTGTGAAGCGGAGGTGAGGGGGTGACTCGGGGACATCTAAGATCTCTTCCAGGCTTAAATCTCTGAGCTTATAACCCAGGAGTCATTAAAATACTGGAAGATAAATCATACCCTGTCTCCCCCTAAGCTAAACATCCCTGGTGTCACGTGGAAGGATTGCTTACATTTTCCAGGTAGAAGAGTGATATGTTTGGAAGGAGCATTGGACTTGCTCCCGGAGACCCAGATTCAGAGCTGGGGCCCACCATTTACTTCCTGCTGCATGAATCATTCTCCGAAGGCCTACGATAAACAGCTGGGCCAGAGGGTGTGCATCAGAGTCCAGGGCTTGGCTTTTCGCTGAGGAGATTATCATTCTTTTCCCTGGGACCCACCTAAGCCCTACTTGGGCGGCACCTCCTCTTGGACTCCCATGTGCTTTGCCTCGTCCTCTCATTCAGTGCAAGCTCCCTAGAGAAGTGTTCAGATCACACGCTGACATTTAGAACACGGGTCCTTCTACATTCTCATCTTACACCAAAATATTCCAGTCATTCAAAGGCCACTAGGGGTAAGTTTGAGACTCTCTGTTGCTTATCATAGGTGATGGGGTCATATTTAGGACAGCAAGGGCCCTCACAAGACTTCTGCTTACTGGGGCAATCTGGTGGCAAAGTGGCAAGAACACCAGGCTTGGAGTTAGGGAGGCCTGAGTTCCGGCCCCAGAAACTTACTAGATGAGTGACCCTGGCAAAGTCACTTACCCTGTGTTTGCCTCTGCTTTCTTATCTGTAAAATGGAGATAATAATAGCCCTGACTTCCCAGGATTGTCAGGAGGATAAAAGAGGCCAATATTTGTAAAGCATTTAGCTCAGTGCCTGACACTTAAGTGCTATATAAATGTTCACCACCACTACCACCACCATCATCATCTCCTCATTTTACAGATGAGGAAACTGAGGTCCAGAGAAGTTAAGTGACTTCCCCAAGGTCACACAGGTAGTAAGTAGGAGAGGCAAGATTTGAACTCAGCTCCTCTGACTTCAGAGCTAATGTGCTTACAGAGAGGGATTAGAAACACAAAGTACATTGGAGTCAGAAAGTCACCCCCAATACCTGGGAAAACTCAAGAGCTAGGCACTGAGGCTATAAGAATTAAAAGAAAAACCCTGCCCTCAAGAAGCTTACGTTCTGTTGGGAAGATATATTTAACGTGGAATCCTGGAGCACAAATCAGAGGCCCTCTAGCCCAGGGCTGGGGAGCCTGCAGCCTCGCAGCAACATGTGGCCCTCTAGGCCCTCAAGTGCAGCCCTTTGAATCCAAACTTCACAGAAGGCAAGGACTGTACTTGAGGACCTAGAGGGCCACATGTGGCCTCGAGGCCGCAGGTTCCCTACCCCCGCTCTAGTCCAATTCCCTCCATTTACTGGTGAGGCTTAAGGAAGGGAAGTGATTTAGCCAAGCTGACCCAGGGAATGAGAGGCAGAAGTGGGATCTGAACCCAAGCCTCTGTGTTCTTTCCACCATTCAGTGCCACATTTTGTGATTTTTTTCATCATCTTCTATATTCCTCCAGTGAAACTTTGGTGAATAAAACCAGCTTTCTCCAGTTAATCAGAGAAACAGTAAGTGTCTACTACATGTGAGGCACCATGCCAGATTCGGCATACTAAATTATTCACACAAACACCCCGTGGCCTAAAGCAGTTTCTATTCCAAAAAGTTTCTCATGTCCAGGCTCGGAGGGCTGCCCCGCCCTGCCCTGCCTGGCCGTCCAGGCGACTTTCCACGCTGTACCTTGCACTCAGCCGCTCCCTCAGTCCCTTGCTCGGAGCGTACAGGTATCTTTGGGAGTGAAATCTATAGCCCAAAGCTCTCAAGTGGTTCTTGCCTTTCCTGAGGACACAGAGGTCAGAAATGTGTCGTTTTTAGTGAAAACTGGTGTCCTCCTGGGGAGTCAGCTGATCGTCCATGCCCTGACTTGTAGTTGGCTTAGAAAAAGTGGCCAAGACCTGGGTCGCCCCCGCACTGGG